TATTTAGTTGTAATTAACACATGCATCCGCACCCACACCCACTCCACTCTCAATAATCAAATCAACCTAGAAAATGCAGAAGCATTCCGTACAGATATAGAACTTGCATAAAAATTGTTATCCTATTTCATATGTATTAATCATCTTGATGGTGGATGTGGATGTTCTTTTTAAATATCATATATATTCACGCACTAGCGTACCTACATGCAATAATGGACGATTCTCTGAACATTATAAACATTAATGCGTTTGTTGTAGTAAATCTTTCTGCTGTAAAAAATAGTTTAATAACAGACGATGAGTCTATTATCTATAATAATCTATATTCTACTAACTAATTAATTTATTGCATGTTTTTTTTCTGAGCTAATTAATGATTCTCAGAAGATGATAGAGGATTATGACAATAAAAAAGAAGAAAATGGAATTAGATGGCAATTTAAAATATAAAAGAGTTTGTAATTTTATGTTCGCAATTTCTTTTTTGTTTTTCAATCATAAAGTCGATTATCCTACACGCATAAACTCATTAATAGTAAATCATAAAAGTGTAGCAAAGCGTTTATATTTACTTCAATTAACGTAGATTCATATAAAATAATTTTTTTTGTTGTTTCAGATCTATATCAGTTAACATTTAAAGAAATAAAATTTTATTTCATAATTAATCAAAATAATGTCAACTCATGAAATATTAATTTTCGCAACACGACAAGTTAATATCTATTTTGGTTTGTCAATTATGATCTTAGGTGTTATTGGTGGAATATTTAATATTATAATTTTTACAACGCTGAAAACATTTCGAGAAACAACGTGTACATTTTATCTGACTGCTGTTTCAGTAGTTAATATCATTCAATTGCTAATAGCATTGTTTGTCCGTGTTCTAAATGATGGTTTTTCTACTGATATTAGAAAAACATCGTGGGTTTGTAAAATACAAATATATATATCTGTATGGTGTAATTTGGTATCAACTACGTATGTATGTTTAGCAACAATTGATCAATTCTTATCCATGAGTCACTATAGACGTTTCAGTAATTTACGATTTGCTTAACGTTGTATATTCATTACTGGAATTTTTTGGGGCTTATATAGTACTTGTTCTCTCATCTATTGGGATGCACCTTTTGGAATATGTATGATCATTAATTCAAATTTTGCAACGTATGTCAATCGTTTTCAATTGCCAATACTTTATGGAGTTCTACCTTTAACTACAATGATTACATTTTCTCTATTAGCTTTTTATAATGCTCGTACATTAATTAGTCGACAAATAAATATTATACGTTTGAGTCGTGATCGACAATTGACAGTAATGACACTTGTTCATGTTGTATTTGTTACAATCACTACATTACCTTATATTATTTATTTTATTTATTTACTTAATCAAACTACTAATGAGCGAGAACAAATAGCACGTAATAATCTTATCTATACTATTTTAGTTTTAATCCTTTATTCAAGTTATGCTGTAAGTATTTTTATTTGTAAAAAAATAGAAATCATATTTATTTTTGAAATAATATAGGGTTCTTTCTATATTTATTCTTGTGTTTCAAAACGATTTCGACAACAACTCTTTTTCGTAATTTCAAATGCTTGTATAAAGCAATACCAACAATGGATGAACAAACGGGGTAATAATCAAATTGCACCAAGTATTGAAATAATCGGTGATATCCAACTTACAAGAACAAAAATAAACAAAGACTCTATTGATGCTGTTTCCATGAAGTGAATAACGAAGTGATTATCTTTATTATTGTGTGTACAGTAGTATATTGCAGAAAATAAATATTTGTTGTTGTTATGTTTAGTAATATATTTCAATAAAAGTTATATCTCAAAAATTATTTTTCTTTTATTTTTGATTCTACTGAATACCTTTGTTAGATAATTATATTTATTATGTAAGAAATACGTAGCAGTCAAAAAAACATTTTGCGTGAACGCCTTAAATCAGTTTTAATCATACAAAAAGCAATCTCATATTGTATATGTCCACTGAAGCTATAAAAAAAACATTCGTGATAAGAATTGAATCAAATACATGTCTTCTTATTATCTTGATTGCATAATTACTTTTTAGTAATAATACTTCCTTCCTTCCTTTTATTATAATGTATTTTTTTTAAATTTATTTTCATTTTATTATTAAGGCGATATGATTCAGTCAGACCAATCAATCTCGCTTAAGTTAACTTTAAGAAAGGAAAATATACATTTTCCTAGAATGAACTCAAACAATCTCTAAGCTATTATGATAAAAACAACTCATTGATATATGCTTATGATATTACTAAGGATATTTCGAGACTCGAGAGTAATTATAAGGAAAAACTAAGTCTACATCTGGATTTTTAAGTCTGTTAAACGTAGTTTAAAGTAAGGATTAGGGAACTGCAAAACATCTTGAGGGTTTGTGTGTGTATAAGTGAAGGTTTGGGTCTCATCTTTGTCCTCACCTATCCACACCCACACCCTCAATCTATATTCCATAACTAGTAGTGCTAGAACGCAAGTAGCATGATTAAACAAAATTTTGCTAAATTTTTAGAAGAAATGGAATATGATTAATTTATGCGGTTTCCAAGTATCTAAAATTTTTTTCGAAAAAGACTTCAAAAAAACTTTTGACAAATTGTTAGAAAGGATCGACCTTGATATAAATAAAACTGGCAACTACCCTCAACATTTGATAAAATTAAATTAAAAATATCTCCTTATCTTCATATTTTGTTTTTTAAATGTAAGAACTTTTGGTTAGGCCGAAGTATATGCTATTGTTACTAAACTCTAACTGAAACTATGCTTGAAAATATATGATATTAGTGTAAAACACATGTACATTATGATATGAGCATTAGAGCAGTAACAGAATATAGTATATACAAATACATATCCACTCGTATGTGAATTATATGATCCTGTAACAAGTACTTGGTCATATACACTGATGTTGAATCATGGAAGATATTCTCATCAAACTGTTTTAACAAATACTTTTGTATTAACCATGGGTGGCGATGATGGAAACAATAATAAACTTACCAGTTCTGAAAAATACAATTTATGAAACATTATAATCAATATTAACTCAGCTCTAATATCGTAAAATTTTTTCTTTTTCAGATCCAAATAATGTATCTCATAAACTTAATTATATTCAATAAATAAAAGTCTAATATTTTAAATCTGTATTTATTCTTCATATGAGTAATATAAATAATGATCTGATAGTTATATGATTTATATGTGAATCTTTTCAAGACCGATTCACTACAAGTATAACATAAAATGTAGTGTATATTAAACTGAATAAAACTCGAACGATATATTATTTCACTCTTTCATTCCACGAAGCGATTTTTTCTGTAAAATATTCTAATTTTAGAGCTAAGAACAAGACAAGTTTATATTCACGTTTATCGAAGACTTGAAATAAATAACATCATTAAAGTATAATTTTATGCTACAGTAGACTTATAAATTGCATTCTTACAAGGAAAACATGATTATATCATATTCTGTTAATAGTAACAGTTTTATGACTAGATATTGCATTGGCAACTGATAATGTTATTTATTTATTTATTTATTCAATAAATATCACATCATATTACTGTTACAAGTACAACATGAAAAAGAATTTCACGATAAATAAAAATATGATAGAATATTATATAGTATCATGTAACATTAATGATATATTATTATTAGAACTTTTACGAAATTCAACTTTTTTTATGTGATCTCAAATAATATTAATAATGTATTTATATCTACCAAAATTATCTGAAATATAACGTTGTACATTGACAACGAAATTCGATCTTTAACAAAAAAATATAGATAATAAATATTAATAAACATTTATAATTTTCATACGATTTTTGTTTAAGTTTAGCTATATAACCAAGAAATTCTGTTACACGATCATATTTTGTTTGTATGTAAAAAACTAAATTATGATTTGATATTAAATGAATAACAATCAATTATTATTTTCCTAGTGTAACACTTAAACCAGTTATATCATTGATTCCAATGGCAGGTTATCATTTGCTCTAAAATGGTTTTCACAAATCTATCCCCAAACAAAATCCCAAATGGAGATTTTTCATTTGGGGATTGACTCTGGTAAACAATTATGTTAGTATAAACTCTATTTTATATTTCTTTATTATTAATGCGTAATTAAGTCGAAGTTTTACCAACATAAATTTTATTACAAATATAATGTTTGCTTTTTTTATCTATGTGATGTCTTCAAACATACAAACTTTTTTTCTTCATTACCTATTCTTCAATTCATAGCATATAATATATTTCTTCTCAATATTTACCAACTCTTTTGAGTTGCTATGCGAGACTTTATAGATAAGTTATAATGCGAAGACATCATGTTTCTTATCATTTTTATATTCTAACATTAAACATCGATATAGACGCCAGTATAGAATGCGTCCAAATCTTTTTTACCTAATAGCTAGTATTGTGTTATTTACTGCTAGTATAACTCAAGCAGCTAATTGGGCATTATTAGTTGCTGGTTCTAACGGATGGTACAATTATCGACATCAAGCAGATGTATGTCATGCTTATCAAATCTTACATAAGAATGGTATCCCGGACTCGAATATTGTTGTTATGATGTATGATGATTTAGCTCAAAATCCAGCGTAAGTTTTTAAGAATATTTTTGAGCTATTCAATATTTAATCTATTTTTTTCCTCAGAAATCCAACTAAAGGTGTTATTATCAATCATCCACGTGGTCAAGATGTTTACCATGGAGTTCCTAAAGATTATACAGGCGCGGTAAGGTCAATAAAAATTATTAATTTCGAATATGAATTTGTCTCTGCTAACAGACTGTCACACCACAAAATTTTATTAATATATTACTTGGTGATAAAGCAGCAATGCAAGGTATTGGCAGTGGTAAAGTTATCGAAAGGTAATAACGATACATCTATCGAACAATTTTCTAATTTTATTTATAGTGGTCCTAATGACAATGTCTTTCTCTATTTTACTGATCATGGTGCTACCGGTAAAATCTTTTACATTGATTTATTATATTTTTTTAGTATCTCATAATACTATTCATCACAGGTTTGGTTGCTTTTCCAAATAGTGTAGTACGTTTACTGTTGATCTTTTCAATAAAAATAACTAATTTATATGTGCTCATTTTTCTAGCTTTATGCCACAGATCTAAATGCCACAATTACAAAAATGTATAATGGAAAAAAATATAAACAAGTTAGTTAAAATTTAATTTTTTATGTTCTATGTATAATTCATATTATAAATATATAGATGGCTATTTATATTGAAGCATGTGAATCAGGTTCAATGTTGGAAAATATCTTACCAAATAATATTAATATTTACGCCACAACTGCATCAAATGCTGAAGAATCATCTTATGCATGTTATCTTGATGATAAACTTGCGACTTATTTAGGTGATTGTTATTCTGTTGCTTGGATGGAAAATTCTGACGAAAAAAAATTTAATAAAGAAACGTTATATGATCAATATTTGGTAACAAAGAAAAAAACACATGAAAGTCATGTCATGCAATACGGTGATCTTGTAAGAAAAAATTATTGATGTTTATAAAACATATATTTGTCTATGTTTAGCAACTAGGTAAAACTCATCATATTGATGAATTCCAAGGTAATGAACAACAATATTTGAAAGAAAATACACATCATATATTTTTAAATCATCATTATACTCAACTCAAAGTAGATATCATATCGATATAGGTACATATATATTTCATCCTATCTTTTAGCGTGATGCTGTTCCAATGGAAAATGTTCGTATTTCGATCCTCGCTCATCGTTTAGCTGCAAGTAAACAGAATTCAACTGAACAACAACGATTACAAAAAGAACTTTCTCAAACACTTAATGCAAGTAGACAAGAACCATTTCAATACCTTATAATATTTTTATCTAATATTTAGGATCGAAATATCATTCAAGATCATATTCAACACATTGTGTCAGTAGCATTATCCAATAATAATGATTATTCTGTTGAAGAAATTACACAAAAACGAATGAAACTCACTCAATATAATTGCTATAAAACAGTTACTCAATATATACATGAAAAATGTTTTGATCTACAAGTTTGAATAAAATCTTTTTTTTTACGTATTTAAAATAATTAGATATTCTTTAGAATGAATTTGTTCTTAATAAATTATGGACAATTGCTAATTTATGTGAAATACGATTGAATGACTTTATTATTACAAATGCAATTGATCAAACATGTCGAAATCGTCTTCATTTTGATTACTAATTTATTTCGTAACATTGAAATATATACGAAGATGATGAACTAACATTTTATTTTCTCTCTAAAAAGTCATCTATCATATATAAAATAAAATAATGAAATCAATAAATAATCTGACATTATTTATTTCTTTTTAAATATTTTATAATAATTCTTTTAGCATTTTGATTTATTTCTTCTGTTAATATATTTCGATCGTTCGATGAAAGATTGTTCCACATTTCTTCATTTCCATTTTCATATAATTGATCAAGAATATCTTTTATATAAAGATTTAATAGGTCTTTTAATTTATCTTTTTCATTCGCAGTGACATGTCCAATTTTACTAAGTGCATTATTTAAACGATTATCAGTAACTAAAGCATCAATTTCAAATCTTAACAGATCAATATTTGAAAGTTCACCATCAGTTTTTAATTCTTGTTTTTGTGCTTGACCATATTTATCTTCAGAGAATTCTTCAATTTTCTTTTTAACAATTGCACGGACATGAACACCTTTAGTTGTCTTAACTAAAATTTCATGCATTGGTTTAATTACAATTCCTTCTGCTTTATTTGATTCGATTAGACTTGGAAGTCCAAGTCGGTTTGGTATGGTAGAATTAAAACCTAGTTTAAAATCAAGAGCTTCTTCATATTTACCAATAAATAATGGTTCAGCATAAAATAAATTTACATTTTGAAAAGCAGTTATAGCATATTCATAATCTAGATAAATTTGTTTATCATTACTAACAATAGCTAAATCAAATGCACAAAATTCAATATCAGGACAATACCAAATTCCAGTTTGAACAGCATTTATATTAGGTAAGTTTGGTACATCTGGATGTGGATAAGAACCACCAAATAATTCACCAAATATATACAATTTGTTTAGATTTGGATAAGTATTTTTAACAAATTGATACAATTGTTGAATTCTGGGAACAATTTCATTAAATAATCGTTGTTTATAACCAAAAAAATCATCTGTATTTGATAATAAACTTGTTCGTTTTCCACAACGAACACGTTGACCGTCATCATCACAAAAGAAACAAAAATTTGCACCATGAATTTTCTCTGTGACACACCATAATGTTCGTTTAAATGTTGTATTATCAGATTTTTCTAAAATCCAATTACTACTACTTTCACCTATTTTACCATAACCTTCGAATTCATCCATTATTTTTTAACTTTTACGTTTATTCATCGAGAAACGAATGCATATATAAAAAATGTAATTACACAATTCATTTATGACGTGTTTTTTCTTACACAAGAAAAGAAAAAGAATGAAGGCTATGCGTGTTGCCTTGTTTCTGTTCTATACACTTTTAAACAGATGACGCACGTGGTCATAATATTACGAAAAAAAAAAGAATAATTTTAATATTTTATTTCAAGAGTAAAATATTATATACATATATTTAAAAGTAATGTTTTTTAAAAATTTGAAGTTAAAGTAGCATTTGTTGAATTTTATATACTAAAAAGAAAAAAAGAAATCTATAGTGAAAAATATATAAATTTTTTTTTTATTTACCTAATTTGTGCGAGAATTTGATTAAGATCATTTACTTGACTTTCAAGTGCATGTTGTTTATCATTATAGTCTTTTTCTTTTTGTGTCATTCGATCTCGAAGTTGATGTAATTGTACACGTAAACATGTAATTTCAGTGTGTTCATCTTGTTTACGTCGTTGATAAACACTCGTACATTCGTTACATTTTAATGACACTAATGCACACTCACTCTCATGCTCTTGAAAATCTTTTTGAACGATTTTTTCGTCGCATCCAGAGCATGTCATTAAACGATAACCACATCCTTTTTCATGCTTTTCTAGATTATTGTAAGACAGCGTCTCTGCACATCCGTTTGTTTTATAACGACAGGTTACTTGTAACGTATTCAAAATGTGAATAATCGCCGGAGGACATGCTCGTTGAATAAATTCTGAACAATTGTGTGGACAAGTAATCAAGTCTTCTCTTTCTGTTTTCCAAGTTTCAATGCAAGGTAAACAAAACGGCTTCTCACAGTTTTTACAAGCTACTGGCAACCAAGCAATTCCATCACATATAGTACATACTAGAAGATCAGGCAATGTTAAGTTGATCACACGATCTTTTGGCAAATAAGGTTGGTATTTTACGAAAGCAGTCATTGTAAAACGTATAGTATAGAATGCAAGACAACTGTTGTATGTGATATAACTGTAAAGCTACGTTACAAGTAATATTTATCTTCTACCTATCTCACCTCTTATATATCGTGTTGTTGATACACAACAGCATATGACTTCTGTTATCTCTTAAGATTTTTCCAACGTAAATAATTTTTAAAAGATTTTACCAAGTACGGTGCATAGAAAAAAGAAATTTCATTTTGATGAATAATAAGATCTATACATGCAACATATATTAATCTGAATATTACAGATAAGTTCTCTTCAATAAAATGTTTTTGATCGATTATCAAAGAATAAGTTGTTATATCAAATATTATTTTTTACGAATACATGTAATGCATTCGTATGATTTATTATGACTCATTCAAAAGTTTTACGTATATTTTATTTTAATGTAGATAAGTATCATATAAAAACAAATGAGAGAGATAATATTAACACTGATAAGATTCAAAGGAAAGGTAGAAACTGGGCATTTTTTTGTGATTAACATAGATGAAATTTAATTAAACGAAATATATCTGTTGTGTGTTTTTCGTATATGTCTCATCAACAAATCAATGTACATATATACTTTAATTATTTCGACATATATCTTGTAAGAAATATCCTTCATATCATGAACTATGGAGAATATATCAAATAGAATACATGTGACTTGCATTGGCTGTGTAATTGTAGAGTTATTTCTCGACATCGGTATTTGATAAGTCATGGTACTCTCGATGAAATTTATTTCGAATATTAAATATTCTACTTATCTATAAATAGAATGAAAAATCCTTTATAATAAAATGACAAGTAACAATATACACGAGAAAGAATATCACTTGTATAATACAGTTTACTTTAAGAAACTTATGATCTACATATGTATTAAGTAAATAATATGATATGATGATATTCTAATTTATTACTATTTTTCAGACAATGACTGTATATTTGTAAAACAAGCGGACGATCGCGCTTATTATTTATATTGACTCACTAAGAAAAGATTTTCTTAATAGATGTAAAGTGCAAAATAATTGCTTTCATAATTTATATAACGATACAGCATCATAAATAATCAAATCATATGAGATGGGCAACACAGTAATGCTTCACGTGTCACCTCATGTATTGCACTACGTATCTGAAAGATGTGACTAGCACGATGGATTTTAAAATAGGACTGTCTAAATCTCGGAAAAAAACCTCATTAGAACAGAAGAACTGTGAAATGTATAAACTCAAATTTTTAACGTATTGAAATTAAAACAAAACTTGAGAAGATGTCATCTCATTCAACAATCATTTGAGCAGATTCAAGCATATCATTATGACTGGCATGTTTTCTTTTATTTTTCTTCCTGATATATTCTTCTTGTTCATTCACTCATCGCCGATCATTCTGTTAACATCCTCGTAATTACTTCGACTGTTATCTATTTCTATTTTGATTATATTAAAGAACAGGCCATCATCTAATGTAGATGAAACATCTGTAATTTCATTTCTGATAAGTAATAAGGGTAAACGTTTGCTGGTTATTGATGGTTTTATATATCAACTGTGAAAGTTAACTACTGGATTTGTGAAGAAAAACTTTGTAATGCAGCTGTTCATCTTAGTTCGAATGATTTGTTTCTGAAGTGCACGGAAAGCACTCATGCCGATACGCCTAAAGCTGAACGATTAGAAATCTGCAAGATGATGACGAAAGTCAAAGCTAATTTTTCTCGAACAGCTCTTGCTATAATGCCAACATGTGCAGATTTCAGTATTCCATCCCATTATCGAAAAACAACTAATGGACAGCAATATTTACTTGCTGATCGAATTTAACCCGTTGGTGTAAAACTTCAAAAAATAATTAATTATCTTTTCAACCGACGATCAACTTCGTTCTGTCTTTATATCTCCGCATATAATGATAGACGGTACATTTGACAGGTGTCCACCACATTTTGAACAAGTTTTTTCAATTCATGGTATAAACAATGACCAAAGTGAGCTACTCTTATTAAAGCAGTAGCTGACGAAGTGAGTTCACTTTTATGTTCCTTGAATTAATAATTATCAAACTTTTTAGCTTTCTAACGCTCGGCACATTGGGTGTTATTTTCATTACGCCAATTCAGTTTATCGACAAATTCAACAACTTGATCTGACCACTGCTTATCGTGATGATGAAAACGCACGCAACTTTATGGCTCTTCCTCTCACGTCACTTAATCTAATTGAACGTAGTTTTTGAAGAAATTTTTCATAATGCTCTTGATTCAATACACCCATTACTCGATTATTTCAACAGATACTGGATGACAAAAATTAAATACACATTGTGGAAACGTGTGTGTGTGTGTGATCGTCGATATTTGCTGCATCTAACATTCACACCCATAATTTCATATACTAATTCGAGATTTTTTTTTGTTCAATATATTAATTTTTCGAAAAGTCGATTTTTCGAGTTTCAATTTTATTATATTTATTAGTGAAAAATTATTTAGACGTAAACACGAACATACGCTTCGATACTCTGACGACATACAGGACATATGCGTAATGTTCCAGAACAACTAACACATACTGCAAGATGGCCACAAGGAACGCACGCCAAACGCTTCTCTTCTCTCGAGCATACCACACAAGGATGATTTAGTACAATCTGAGATTCTGAACTCATTTCTTCTATTACTGTCTTTTCATTTGATGTGGACATGGTTATTGGTTTTTTTGATGCTATTTGCGATGTTTGTACGAATGAATTATTTGTTTTCATCGAAGAATTAGTAGATGAATTTGTCAAAGGTGAGATTGACAAAGACGAAGA